ACTGTGGACACAATGAAATTGATCATGTGTGTCACCAAAAAGGTGTGTAAAGTACAAAATAATATTTTAAATGCATTTCATTTATATTTGAATGATGGCAAACACCTCAATATATAATTAAAATACTTTGTTATAAATATTTGGCATATTTTAGAAAAACTCAGGGTAAGAGAAACATGCGGACATGAATGTTGCCCCCAAAAAAGAATCACTCACAACATGGTTAGAACATGCTAAACTCTCGATTTGAGCTCATTGTGTTTATTTTGTTATAACATAGTTAAAACATGTTAATGATTTAAGCACCATGTTTGTTGTTATAACATAGGTATAACATGCTAAACTGTTTTGAGCAGTTTATGCTGTTATAACATGGTTATGACATGTTTAACTACTGTAATTTGAGCACAGTGTGAAATGATCTWCAAACTACTGGTGTTTAAGTACACAGGAAACACACTCTGACAGGTGTTTGTGTCAGATTCACAGAACAAGCTAGAAAGATCTCGTACAAGCTGGTGTGACAATCTTATCTTTTGTTTCCGTTCTTCACTTTGACATCTTATTTTCAGAGCAGCTGATCGATGCATTTCTTTTTTAGTTTACACGAGCTAAATATAGATCTGTCACAACAACAGGCATCACCCAGGAAATAAAAACAAGTGCGGTTGGAAACTATCTCGCCGCAGTCGCCTCACTTTTCCACGAATAGCAGCAGCACTTTCTGTGCAGAGMTGCATTTTCTTTTTCTCTTTTTCATTCAAACAAACAACCTGGTTGTTCATGAGCTCCGAGCTACAGATAACACGGTTACAGAGGAATGAAAACAGCAGACACATTCTCTCTATTCAGAGCTTTATTCAGCAGTAACAGAAATGAGCTGAATCAGCAGACAGTGAGCAGCGCTGTTAAACATTTCACATCAGATTCCAAGGTGGTCAAAACATCACTGAGTAAATCGATTCAGCCGAACACAAACATCAACATGACGCAAAAGGAAAGAAATACGGCAAGTTCAATTATATTGAAAAAAAAAATAATTAAAAAAAATAAATAAAAGCACATAGGGCAGTGGTTTTTAAACTGTGGAGCACAAACCCTAAAGCAGAGAGTGGGGTCATTACAGGTGTGTGTGTGAGACCACTCCTGTTTATATTTCACTTTAGTTCATCTGGGACGTGACCGGGACAGAAGCAAAGAGGGAAATCATTTSATCTCCTTCATGAAGGAAAACTTTACCACCTGGAGATGTCATTTTAAATCAGGGATGACCGGTCAGAGTGAGAATTAGAGCGGGACACTCAGCACCGTGACAAGCAGGGTGAAAAGAACGAAAAGCTGTTTTAAAACAAAAACGATGGAAGATCTCTGCCGTCTGAAAACTGACAGCTGAAAGGATGAAGTTTAATAAAACTGCTCGTTGTTTACCTTACATGACTGAAGTGTAAAGTTTCAAACAGAAACAAGCCTGGTGATTATTACAAAGCAGACAAATCACTTTTAGAAACAGCAYCAGTGAGAAATAAAACATTAAGCTCCTAATACTGTGATGAAATGACATCAGCTCCTGCTGATAAAGATGATCTATTTCTGCCAATTTGGAAACAAATTGAACTTTTTTTTTTAAAACAGGGAATTATTGCAGCTTTTAATACTGTGATAATATTTGGCTACTATCTATTTGTTTCTGTGCTTAAATTTAACTTTAGTTTTATTTCCATCTATTTTTTATGCTTTTTGTTCATCAAGCAAACGTTTTATTTGCTCTTTATTTTGAAAATTTAAATAAAATAAAAGTCCAAATCTAGAGAGAAAATGTTGAACGTTTTTTTTTAAAGGAGTGCTCAAAACATTTGAGTCCGAGTGTTACAGGAGGACAAAAACAGCTTTCTACGAGGATTTCCCTTGGCTTCACCGTGCTACACTAATGCTACGTTGTTGTGTCGTTTGCCTCACTTCAGATGTTGTGAACCCTCTTCATACCTAATTGTGCTGCTGTGGGTTTGAAAAACAAAATAATAAATGACTCACAACAAGCAGAGCCAGCATGTAGAAGTAAAAACAAACAAACAAAAACAAAACAGTTTGAACACAGGATTTCTGAAATGTGTGATGAGTGAAAATAAAAATAAATACAAGATTAGACAGTTGAGTCAATCTCTAACCATTTAAATATACAATATCTGCATGTAGTTATAGTTTCTGTTAGTAATGCAACTTAAACAGTAGATAATATATTTTATCATATGCATCTGTTAATAGACTTCTTAGATCCTCCTTTCTAATCGCACAGGCCCCCTGGCTTTGAGGTGCTCTGGAGATGGACGAGAGAGAAAAGAAAGGTGGACAGAGGACATAAATTACTGTGACGAGAAGGCAGGAGGCTGGGTGTGGGGGGTGGTTTAACAAGAGACCTCCATGGTTTGGGGTCCGGTCTGGCTGCCGCCGCCCTCCAGCAGACTGCTGATGTTGTTGCGGCTGCGGCTGCTCTCCATGGAGGTGATGCTGGAGGAGGAGGTGGTGCGAGAGCGAGCCAGGCGAGTCATTCCTGCTGCCGGCACTGAAGGAGGGGGAGACGAGCGTTAATATTCCACTCACACGGCTCACTGGACTACAGATACAACAGAAAAGAAAAAGTGCTTATCATGCAGACAGTTCACAAATAAACAGACTGAACTGAATGTATCCACAGAAATAAAAAAATATATATTTATAAATACATTTACAAGCAAACTAGAATGTTATCAGCAGCAGGAGGTCATGCAGCTAACTTGGTCATGCTAACTGAAGCCTAACCTCCTGCAGAGGGATGAATGATTCACTGGATCAACCTGAGGTGCTGGTACTAACATCTAGCAGCGCTCTCAGGGGAAACCTTTCTGCAAACATTCATCCTCTGCAGGGTGTTAGGAGGCTGTTCCAGCTTCAAAGCCTCCTGGTGGGGCAGCTGCTCAACAATCTGGTACCTGATTCGTTGCTCAGGTGACTGAGAAGAACGTAGGGAACTGCAGGCAACGGTTAAAGAGGAGAAAACACAGGAGAGAGGCAGACGTGTGAAAAGGTACATCTTGTGTGGAGGTTCAGCTGATCACAACAAACACTGCATGTTTGCAAGCTGAACTTTACACCCCGCCCCCCCTCCAGTGCATCTCGCGCCGTAGCAACATGTTGTTAAGGGGGAAAAAAGCAGCTTTCAGGAGCATGTTGAGGTGTTAAGTTTTATTTTCCACACGTTCTCTGCATGAAAACACTCTTTAATCTGCTCTAATCCCTCAGTGGCATTTGCTCAACGGGGGAGGGGGGGGGGTCGGTGGCCTTCAAAGCTGCACCGAGGCACCAAGGGTCCAGCTCCACCCAAAGATGCCTCCTGCAGCGACKGGTTTGAGAGCAACAGAGAGGTGGCATTAAAGAAATCCACACATGGAGGATATCTGCAGGAGCGAGGAGCACACCTACGTTCATGACGCCATTCATCCGTGGATCACAGTCACTTTGTTTTTCTTTGTTTTGCTTTTTTAATGAATGGCTGCAAAACCTGGAGGCCTGTTTATCTCTGCAGCTCAAGTCTTTTCAAACGGAGCGCACAGCAAACAGTTCTGATAGGAAAAGAAAAGCACACCAGGAACAACAAAAGAGCAATTTTTAACGCCCACTCTGATGCTGAACAGGAAGCAAGCTGCTGTTCAGCACATTGAGTGCCGCTGTCATCTCAGTCATGCCAGAAGCCCTTTGTCTCACCTACTGCGAGCTGTGAGTACCACACACTGCAAAGAGCACAGAGGAAACGCTGTTAGAGGGAACCGGGTCCCAAAAAGCTGCCCCTCCGTGACCGGGCTTACAAAAAACATCTCTTTTCATGCACAACTGGCCACAGTCCAACACCCCCACCCCCCAAACCAGTCAGCTCCGGGTGTTTAGTAACAGACCCCAGCGAAAACAACCCCGGTTTTAGTCTTTTCTTTTTTTGCGATTGCGCTCACGTCAACAGGAAACTCAGAGGCGAACAAAAACCAAGCTGGACCACAAAAAACGTCATCCCTGAGAGGCTTAAGGCTGAGCGGACGCTTCGTCAGCTTGTTTGGACCAGAGTTGGTCTATATTTAAATGTTTTAGATTGTAACCACATCGACCACACGGATATGTTTACTTACTATATCCCATGCCCTGAACAAAGTACTTGAATGCCTCTGCAAGCTTCCCAGGCTGCAAAAAAAGAGAGAGAGGGAAAAAAGAAACACACAATTAGGTGTTTTGGCAAAAAATTGAAAAAATAAAAAAAAATGCTCAAAAAGTGAGAAAACCAACCTGCACGACTTGAGGCAAACCTCCACAATCAGCCATCTAAAAGAGTTATTATAAAGCTTATTATTAAACCATTATTAATGTCCAAATCTAAGTTTGATTATTTGAACCAAATCAGATTAGTTCACCTTTAACAAAGTAGTCTTGGTGGGRTTTAATCTGGAATTGCACTCCACCTGAAACAAACAGAAGGCATTAAAAAAGTTTTCAATAAGGGTTCAATAAGGGGTTCACTTCTGGGGTCAAAAAAAGTTTCTCTGAGAATTTTCCACAAACGATGCAACGTGACTCACCACAGCCTCGACGGCAGGTGATGTGTCACCGACCACCAGCAGGGCTGGACAGCTGGAGAAGATGAAGAGTAAACAAGTCACTCCAAACACTCAAGAAGCAAACGATGCAGTGTTTGTATCATCTTGGTCTAAAAAAATAAAAACCTACGTGAGTGTGTTAACCGTGTCCTCATTCTGTCCGACAWTGGGCCTCTCGATTTCAAGGTCTCGACGGCTGGTGACAAAACAAATATTCTGTCAGTCAAACAAAACAAACGAAAACACTTCATTTATCTTCTGTACTTCTGCAATTTTTACACCTTTCAACAAAGAAGGTGCATTGTGAAGGGTGCCTTTTCCAGACAGCATGTTTCAGCTCCATCCAAAGATGCTCAAAGGATTTAGGTCAGGATCATAGAAGACCACTTCAGAWTAGTCCAATGTTTTCCTCTGAGGCATTCTTGGGTGTTTTTAACTGTGTTTTGGGTCCTGGTGAAGACCCATGATCTGCGACTGAGACCAAGCTTTCTAACACTGGGCAGCRCATTTCTCTCTAGAATCCTTGATAGTCTTGAGATTTCATTGTACCCTGCACAGTTTCAAGACCCCCTGTGCCAGATGCAGCAAAGCAGCCCCAGAACATAACAGACCTCCTCCATGTTTCACAGTAGGCACAGTGTTMTGTTCTTCATATGCTTCATTCTTCCCTCTGAACACAGAGCTGATGTGTCTTGACAAATAGTTCTGTTTTTGTCCCATCTGTCCGTTCTCCCAGAAGCTTTGTGGCGTGTCAACATGTAGTTTGGCAAATTCCAGTCTGGCTTTTTTTATAAATTTGTTTCAACAATGGCGTCCTCCTTGGTTGTCTCCCGTTAAGTCCACTTTGGCTCAAACAACGACAGCTGGTATAATCTGACACTGATGTTCCATGAGCTTGAAGTTCACCTTTAATCTCTTTAGAAGTTTTTCTGAGCTCTTCTTTTTTTCCATTTGTATTAGCCATATTTTTGATTTGTCATCGGTTTTCCTCCTGCRACCACGTCCTGGGAGGTTGGCTACAGTCCCATGGATCTTAAACTTCTGAATATGTGCAACTGTAGTCAGAGGAATATSAAGCTGCTTGGAGATGGTCTTATAACCTTTACCTTTAACATGCTTGTCTATAATTTTCTTTCTGACCTCCTGAGACAACTCTTTCCTTCTCTTCCTCTGGTCCACGTCGAGTGTGGTCCACACCATGTCACCAAAGAGCACAGTATCTGTAGCCCTATATACAGCCCCACTGACTGATTACAAGATTGCAGACACCTGTGCTAATTGGTGGACACACCTTGATTTAACATGACCCCATCATTTCTGTCCAGGCCTGTTTTATGAGTTTTTATTTTTTTTGCTGAAAAGCAATGTCTGATTTTCATTTGTTAATTTTTGTAGATTTCTTTTATATATTATTACGTTTGTCAGATTCAAGTTATTTCTGTGACCATTATAGGTTTGTCTTTCTGCTATTTTAAACTTTTGTGCCTTTTTAGCTGTTTTCTGATCATTTCAGGTGTTTTTTGTGTTTTTAGCTATTTTTTAGCTAATTTGAACTTTTTTCAGCTAAATTAACTGCTTTGCAATAATTTCAGCTTCTCACAGCTTAGTTCAGCAAACACGTGCCTTTTCTGTTTCTTTGTGCCAAGTTCAGTTATTTCATCTACCTTTTAAAGCTATTTTTAGGCTGGTTTCAGCTTTTTGGCTTTTCAGCACAAATCTTTCAGCTTTAAGCATTCATCTAGTTTAATATCAACTTTAGCTGTGAGCTTTGGCTTAACCGTAGTTCTGAAAACACCTGAATGGTTCATTTAAAATGATCATTATTCCATGAAACAGGAAAGAAACTCTCTAACTGCTTAAACACTAAATACACTGATCACAAGACATTTTACTGTGTCTTACTATTGGTATGAGGTACAAAACAGGGCCAGGTTGTTCTGGTTGATGTCTTGGGCGATGTGGAGGCGGTAGGTCTGGATCAGCTCCTGGTTCTCTGTCAGCTCATCCTGAAGAACAGAGAAGAGGAAAACTCTTCTAAACAAATGAACATTTTAAATATAAWATACATTTCAGGAAGTCTTGTATATTAAATGCACAAGCTGATGTTTCAATTTGCACTACTGATCCAGACAATCAGCCGTATCAGTTTGTACAGCTTCTTTCTGGTACTGTGTTCCACATGTCACCATCTAAAGATTCAGAATGATGGGCAGAAATAATTAGCAAATGTCTGTAATGAGATTTATAGATGGATAAAAAATACCAAGGGAAATCAAGAAAAGCCTCCTGGGGTTCAGCTGACGGCTCAGGAAATAAAAAAAGGGTCAGAAGCGTGAGAACTCACGGTGCTGAAGTGGTGAGCCATGATGACATCCACCAGGTTACTGGCCCATCCAGACAGCTGCACACAAACAACAAGTGACTTTACCCGCGTGACTCCAGTTAAAGCAGAGATTATACTGCTTAGTTTAAAACGTACAGACGCTACACTTTGGGACATTTTAAAGAGTACTTTAAAGTAGTGTTCTGTGTAWAAGTTATGAATAATTAATATCTTAACGGTTGACTTTGAAAACGTGAAGTCCAACAGATCAGACAAGCTAAATGCAGAAAAGTGAATCAGCTCCGCCTTAAAACAAGTCCATTCTCTGAGAACATTGTTTTGTAAAGCTTTACACTGCTGTCAGTGTGTCATTACAGTTATTTACATGAAAGTCAATGGTAGCAGATAGCTGCAGCACTTCAGGTGCACCCTGCAGCAGCACCATCTGGAATTTCATTATGTCTGTAGCAGTTTGAAAATAAGTATTGCAGGAATCACTATGTGCTGTATAACTTATCCCATTAAAGAACAAGCTGTTCTGGCAGCAGGTTACACTTCCTTCTTTCTTTTTCACAGAGTATCAAAACATAAAAAGGTTCCATCTGAGTGAACAGAGGAATGGATGCAAATAAAACCAAAGTAAAAAATAAATACACTCTTTTAAATTTCAGACAAAACAAAAACAACAAAATTCTTCACATTTTTTCCTTTATAACACTAAACTTTATTAAATCTTTATTGCATCTGTATTTTTATTTTATTACCACTATCTGTCACCTGACTGCTGCCTTCATGGTTCATGCTTCACTTGAAAAGTTTTGGGTGTTTCCAGTCAGTTTATTGGTCAAAAATAGAAAAAAACTATTCTTTTGAACATTATGCTACCAAACAAAAAAATTTCATTCACCTGTGAGGTGTGAAGAAAGMGTTACTTTTCTGTTCATGGAGCAGTCGTCTCCGTGCTGACTTCTATTTCTTTTCTTTTCACCACGACCCATCTAATCAAAATCTTCAGTTTGTGCAGACAATAACATTTTTGTGCATTTTTGTGTTTTAGCATTTTTGCAGAGCGACTGCTGACTCCACRTGCAGGACACAGCTGGTCAGCTGAACACACAGGGTGTTCTGATGGGACCAAGAGAATTACACACAATGTTTAGAAGTAAATCAGTGGCGTTCAACATTAACCTTAAAAACGGAAGCCTGATAATTGTAAACTTTGAGCAACAAAAGCATTTTCAGTGGCATGAAGGGGAACAGATGAACTTAAGTGACTCCTGTTTTAGCAGCTGGAGCTAATGGAAAAATGTGGCCTATTTTTTTTTTTCTCTTTTAGAGAAGTGACACCCAGCACCTCCCTGAAGTTATTTTTGAACAACTCTGCRTGCGTGATCAAGATGTGTTCTAGCTCAAACTCTGATTAGCTGTGCCAACCAGCTTGAATTGGACTGAATAGTTTATCAGTTGTAGATGTGTATCCAGTGGTTATTTCCTGAAAGCTTCATTATTATTTGACCAGCAGTTCATGAGATATTTAATGGCAAAATGTGAAATATTGATTTGTTAGTGCTTAAAATATGCATTTGGGATCAGTCTAGACTCCTACCACACAAATTATTGGGTTCATATTTGTTAAGGCCATTTAAAAAGTAGATGATGCAACTTTTTCATGGTAGTAATGTCATGTTCAGGGATTTTGGATATTTTAAAAAGCCACATCAGTTTTACATTATTGTGCAGAGATTTAGGGAAACACTTATAAAACTGCAGTCACTTATTACTCTGCAAAAAATAATAAGAAGAATCATACATAAAAGACAGTTATTTGGAACATAAAGATCCACTTTTTAAACAATCAAAATTATTAAAATTTATTGATACAAGGCAAATAATGGACAATTACCAAATAATATTCAAGATTTATTTAAGAATATCGAGGGAGGGTACAATCTAAGAGGGGAATATAAATTTAAAATTTTGTTTATGCGAACACCCATGAAAGGTTTCTGTATATCTATTTCTGGGGTTAGACTATGGAATTAATTAAGTGGGGGTCTCAGACAATGTCCAAATATCAGGCAGTTTAAGAAAATGTATAAAAATGTGTTATTGGAGAAGTATATTGCTTAAGGTTGTTCATTACAAATTGAGATTGTAATGATAATTTGAGATGGYTATCCTGTAAATTGAAAACAATGGGAAGCACAAAATATAAATGTGTGTATATATATGTGTATGGGTTCATATGGCTATGTATATTTGGAGGAGCAAAGGGGTGAGGTACAGCGGGTAAAATAAGTATTGAACACATCACCATTTTTCTCAGTAAATATATTACTAGAGGTGCTAATGACATGAAATTTTCACCAGATGT